GGTGGAGTTGGGATGATAATCAGGGAATACGACCCCAAACCCTTCCCCCCCAATGAATATTCTGCCCGTTCATTTTTACACCCTATGTAACTAACTTGCCAAAGAAACTCAGGGCAGCTGCTCACCTGAGCCTGCCCACTCTCCCCTGAGAGAGTACTATCCATCTTTAATAAATGCTCACTTTACCTTTTTTAACCTCTAAGTCTTGTCTCTGAATTCTTTCTGGGACAGGACAAGAACCTGGAACACCAGTTGCATCTATCGGCAACAAAGATTTTCAGGAGACAGAAAGGGGTGGGTTTGGGAGGTTAGATATGGATACACATGGTAAAAACCCATGAGTGTTGGTCTTCTTGTGGTGAGTTATATGAACAAGAAAAAGGGCATGAGAAAATTACTTGTGATTAGTCTTAATCAGATTAAATTAGTCTATGTGCTTCTACAACCGTCATTCCTCTTTTACCCACCCAATATCTACTATGGAACTTTATTTCTTACCAAACAAAACATTATTTTAGAAAATGCAGAACACAGAAAGTTTTAAAAAATAGAAATGCCAAAATTGTTATTTAAGACAATAAGAAGCAAGTGTTAACTTACCTGAATTAGATCTAAAATGCCAAGTTCACTTTCAGAAGAATCCACACAGAAGACAAAATATAATGTTGCATAATGTCTATAAATCAGTTTGTTGTCAGATCCTCCAATTAATCTAAATGACAAAACAAAACAATTGGAATGTTACAGGAGCAAAATGAAAAACATTTTCATTAGCTCAAGCAAACTGACAATTTGTTTAAAATCCTCTATAAAATGAAAGGTAACATTTAATGACATAGAACTCAAGTGAACTAGATGTTTGCTTTTCTCAGAGAAGTCAAGTGAAAGATGCTGGTGCTTAATTTTAGTTTATTCAGTCATTCAGTTATCTAATGAGTACCTACTATGTGTCAGGCATGGAGAGTGGGTAAGGAGCAATAAACAAATGAGAAAAAATGATGAGCGGAAGGCACTACATACAGAATCACATAGGATGATGCAACATTGATGGATTTGCTATTTCCAACTGAGTGTTAAGAAAAGAGTAGATGCCCAGGCTGACGTCTAATGGTAAGGAGCCTGCTATGAAAAAATTTAGAGAAGAGCATTTCAGGCAAAGCTAACAACTAATAAAAAGGCCATTTTATCAAGAACAAAATATCTATGTTTAAAAGAGAAAAAGAAGGCCTGCGACCAACAATAGATTAGTAAGTGATTAGATCAGAAAAGCAGGCAGAAATGAGATCATAGGGCATTTCTAAGTGCTTACTAGATTTAACTCTGTAGGTCACAGTAAGTTACACAGTGTAAGACTGATTATCAACTAGGAAAAAAAAAAGAATGACATTTCTTCTTAAGTTTTGGAGAGATTTACCATCAAGATGTCCTCCAAAAATACACTTTGTTTTGGAATATAAATGCAAGAAAACTGAGCTGAGAGATACTCCATTCTTTCACCAGATAATATTAGATTGATAGGTATTTCAGCATTTTAAAAACAATAATTTAGGAATCATTCCAAACACCTTCTATTTTTCTAAATATAACCTAGCTTTCCATAGTTACAACAATTAATTCACCTTCTCAAAAGACCCTTTAACACTAACACAATATAAAAATCAAGGCTAAAAGTAACCAAAGCTTACTGAACATTCAAACAAGACACACAGGAAAATAGCATCTATTTCTTACTCAGTAAAAGTAACACTAAATTTAACAAGTTTTGCAGAAACAACTTCTCCAAATTCTCATTATTTTTTATTACTCTATATTCTCTAATTGCAAAAGTGAAAATGATCTTTGACAAGAATTAAAAACTCCTACTATCTAGAATAGATAATTAAAAATATGTGCACGCACTCCAAGATTCTTGGACTTGTATTTATAGACTATCAATGCAACTGTTCCTTGAAAGGGACAAAAAGAGCACAAACAGCAGGCTTTACTTCATCCTGAATCTGCAATTTAGTGATTATCTTAAACTTTTGTTTGGCTCTACTTTAGAAGACCAAACTTTTGAAAATAATAAGCTTCAAAATGGCTACTAAAGTTATTAAAAGAAAGCAAAGATATTAATATAAATACAAATTTTGCTGTTATTTCATCTTTAAACTACAGTATAATGGTGAGTCAAATTCTTTCATAGAATTCAATACACGACATAAAAACCACAGGATTTTAGGAATCCTCGTAATCTAAATATCTTATTTATCATAAGAGAGAAACTGAGATACAAAGATTTTAACTGATGTGACCAAGAAAATCTGATTGCTAGTAACAAAACCAGGACTAAACCAGATGTGTAGCCTCATCTCTAATGCAATATTTGCTTTCTACCTTTTATAAGGTTGGAAAAGAAAAATCACAAATTCAAGTCATAATTTCCAGCTCAAACAATGCCCTGATTACAATAATCAGGTTCCTACACATCTACCATATGCAGTGCACTGCGCTGGGTGACGCATTTCCTATGAGATTAGATTAAGAGGCTGAGATGAAGGAAAATGATGATACTGGCAAACACAACTAAACACCGAAGTTTAAAAGAAATAAGTAAAATATAATAAAAATACTAAACAAAGCTGGTACTCCTGTCTCAACTATTAAACTGGAGGCCTTCAGTTAACAGCAAAATTCACAAATCATAGGCTTATATTTGCGAATTTAAGTGCAACATGATACAACCTTTTAAGAAATGCAAGTAAACTTTCTACATGATAAAAAGTAATTTATGGTTAGGTAAGAATGAATTCTCTATTATCTAACTATTTTTCATAATATGCATCATACACCTTAAAAATACAGAAAAGTATAGGTTTCTCTAACTAATCTATAATTATTCATAATGAGGTTCAGCTAAAGTTTAGTTTTTGAATTGTCAATGAGGAAATATCTCATTGAGAAATTAAACATAAAAGATGAGAGGGACCATTTATGAAACTATTTGAGAACAAACTGATTTCATGAAACCCATTAATTTAAAAGTACTTGTTTATAATAGCTGGCAAACTATAAGCAATTCTTATTTATTCATTTTAAAAACAGAAAAAAGTCTATTAGCTGAATTTGAACTACCTAACCTATCTATCTGTATAAATACATCACTTATTTGAAAAGCAGAGTTCACTTTTGTTTATAATAATAAAAGAAGCTATCTAAGTTTTGAAGAACAGGTCCATTCACCCTAAGGAATACTCTGTAGTTATTAAAAAGAATAACACTGCTCTAGATATGCTTATATGCCAAGCTTTTCAAAATGTAAGTGCAAACAAACAACACGAAAACCAGCATACATGTATGACCCCGTATGTAAAAATTTTTAAGGTTATACTTTTGTATGTTAGTGTAACATTAGTTTTCTAGAAGGATATACAAGAAACCAGGAAGAAGGACTAAAGCTGGAGGAGGAAGACAGTTTCCATTTTGTACTTCCCAGGAATGTCTGAATTTCTGCCATATGAACATATTATCTCTATATAAAATGCTTTTATAAAATTTTTAAAAAGAAAAAGATTGCATATCTTCAAAAATTATTTAAGTTTGATTTATAGCTAATGTAAGGGGCAATTAATTCACCTGATCCAATTAATCAAATTAAGAAACTTTACAATAAACTGATCAAACAGTATGTATTTTAATCATACAGTCAAACATTAGAAATGTCCATGAAATGCTTTACTTACAATCCTCCTTCTAGGAAATTACAAACATTTTCATCTCTCTTAGATACCAAATGGAATGTCTCCCTGATGATTTGCTGTTGTGTATCTTCACTCTGAGAAAGAACAATTCATATATGTTAGGATCAAATTTCTAGGTTTAACAGTATTTTAAGAATTTTAAAAATAAAAGATAGTAATATCTGTCTGGGAAATGCATCTAAGAGAGAGGTCCTTGGAGAACAAATCTATCATATCTTAACAGAAACAAAACCCAACATTTTAAAAGCAAAAACAGAACAAAAATCAGCACTTGATAGTTTACCACTACAATAAAACTTATTTCTCAGCTTCAAAAACCCACAAGAAAAATATCAGACACATGAACTGTAGACGCTAGTAAAACGGGCATTCGATATTAACTAGTCAAAGCTCATTGTTTTACAAACAAGTAAAGTGAAACAGAAAGATAAAGTTATAAACAATTCATGTAGCTAATCTATATTTTAATGGAAGAAAAGTAACCAAAGTTTGGAGCTTCCAATTAAGCAAATTTAACTTAAGGCAAATTGAGGTAAGAGTCTATCCATCTTACTCAACTCTACATAAGCACAGCCTAAAACCAAGAATACACTCAATAAATATTTATTAAATTCACCAAGCAATTCATATCCCAGCAAAAAAAAAAGTCAGCTTCTCAAACACTGCAAGAGAAAACTGGGCAAAACTGTGAAGAAGAATTTCACAGGAAAGAAAATATGATGGCCCATAAAGAAAGGAACAGATGCTAAATCTCATTAGTAATGAAGTGAAATACACATTAAAGTAACAATGAGATAACACCACGTGCACCATATTAGCAAAAGTGCAAAATTATGACAGTATCAAATGTTGACAAAGATGTGGAGTCAAAGAAACTCTCGTTCCATCAGTGGGAAGGGTAAGTGGTATAACCACTTGGGCAAATAGTTTTATAATCCAGCATTTCCACTCCTACCTACTGTGCCATACCATATGAAATCATTGTTTTTGAAGCTCAAAAACAAGAGAATATTGGCAACTATGTATACATAATAAACTCTTAAGCTGTATACCAAGAGACACAGAGAAAAATGTTCATAAAGTCACTGCAACAATCAAAAAAGCTAAAAATAACCCAAATGTCCACCTATCACAGATAAGTTATGATATACTCATAAAACGGAATCTTGTAAGGAGTAAAAACTAAAGAAGTGAATTACACCATCAATATTAAAGATTCTTAAAAATTTAATGTGGAAAAAAAGGAGTTACCTTAGCTCAAGTTGCCATTAAAAAAAAAAAATACAGACAGATGGCTTAACTAACAGAAATTTATTTTCTCACAATTCTGGAGGCTAGAGGTTTAAGACAGAGGTGCCAGCATAGTTGGTTTCTGGTGATTGCTCTCTTCTTGGCTTGAAGACAACCACCTTTTCATTGTGTCCTTGTGGGGAGAGACAGCAAGAACAGGCTCTCTGGTATCTCTTCTTGTATGGGCATGAATCACATCATGAGGGCCTCACTCTCATAATCTCATCTAAATTTAATTACCTCTCAAAGTCCCAATTCCAAATACCATCATATTGAAGGTTAGGGCTTCAACATACAGATTTTGGGGATACACAATTCAGTCGATAGCAGGGTAGAAAAGCAAGTACCAGAATGATATGTAATCATCTCACTTCTGGGCATATACATGGAGGGAACTCTAATTCAAAAAGATACATGCACCCCAACATTCACAACAGCACTATTTACATAGCCAAGACATGAAAACAACCTAAATATCCAATGACAGATGACTGGATAAAGAAACTGTGAGATATATACAATGGAATACTACTCAGCCATAAAAAATAAAATAATGGCATTTGTAGCAACATGGATGGACTTGGAGATTGTCATTCTAAGTGAAATATGTCAGAAAGAGAAAGAAAAATACTGTATGGTATCACTTATATGTGGAATCTTAAAAAAAACACAAATGAACTCATTCACAAATCAGAAAGACTTACAGACAACAGAAAACAAATTTGTGGTTACTGGGGGAAAGGGAATGGGAAGGGTAAACTGGGAGTTCATAATTTGCAGATACTAACTACTATATATAAAACAGATAAAGAATAAGTTTATAGCAAATAGCACAGCCAACTATATTCAATACCTTGTAGTAAACTATAATGAAAAATGATATGAAAAGGAATGTAGGTATGTATATATATATGACTGAAACACTATGCTGTACACCAGAAATTGATACATTGTAAATTGACTATACTTCAATAGAGAAAAAAAAAAGAATACATAATCATTCCATTAGTATAAAATGCAAAACTAAATATTACATAATGATAGATATACAGGTGATAAAAATAAAACTACAAAAAATGATGGAAACAACAAATTTCAAAGGATTAGTTTCAAAGAAACAAAATTGTCATTCACAGATGAAAAATTTTCCACACAGAAAAATCTAACATAATTTGCACAAGTGTTATAATTATCAGAAGATTTAAATAAGAACACAAAGGCATTATACAAAATTCTATTCCAATTCTAAGCTTCTGCAAGTATGAGCTGTAAAATGCTATTTTAAAAAGATACATCAAAAACCATGCAGTGCCCAGGAATAAATTAAACAAACAAACAAAAGCAAGAGAAAATATAAAACTTTATTGAAAAAATTAAGAAGATGTAGGTAAATAGAAAAATGTACAGTGTTTACAGACTGAATCATTCAATATTTTAAAGATGTTCAATCTCCCCAGAATGCTCCAAAGACTCAAGGTAATGCTAATCAAAATCCCAACGGGGTACAAGGGGAAAAACTTGAAAACCTGATTACAACTCCAAAACATAAATATTGCATCAGAGAACTAGAATAAGAAGACGCTGGGAAATGCAAGTAGAAAATAAGAGCATCTGCTGACCAGATAAGAATTATTACAAAGCCACGGTAATTAAGATAACATATTGGTGCAGAAATAGGGAAACTGACTGATGGAACCAGAAACACACTCATACATAGTAAGTACAGTAATTTAATTTAAAACAGAATATTTATGGCAGATTAGCAAGGATGGAAAATCATTTACACAAATGGTGCCAGGATAAAAATTTTTGGTTCTCTTCTAATACAGTGAACTTCTAGCTCTCACATTATTCTCAAAAATCAATCCCAGTTTGATTAAAAATGAATGTTAATGGTGAAGTTACAAAAATTTAAAAATATAATACAGGTTAATATCCTTCTGACATTATAATATTGACTTTTAAACAAGACATAAAATAAGGGTAACCATAAGAAAAAGGTTGGCAAATTTGATCACTTTAAGAGTAAGCACTTCTAATGCTCATACGATACCAGAAAAATTAAGAGAGCTACAAACATGAAGAATATATCTGCAATACATAAAAACTGACAAAAGGATCATATCCAGTGTACATAAAGAACATTTACATGCCAGTAAGGAAAAGATACACATCCCAATAGAAAATGCCTTGGCAAAATAGAAGATCTGAAATACATCAAACTAAAAAGTGTCTGTATAGCAAAGAAAACCATCAATAAAATAAACAGGCAACCTACTGAATGGAAAAAAATTCTGCAAATTGTATATCTAATAAGGGATGTTAATATCCAAAATAAAGAACTCAGACAACTCAATAGCAAAAAAACTCTCCAACAACCCAACTAAAAAACTGGCAAAACACACAAAAGCCAAAAGGTACACAAAGAGTTGCTCAACATCACTAATCAACAAGGAAATGCAAATTAAAACAACAATGAAGTATCACTCCACACCTGTTAAAATGGCTATTATCAAAAATGCTGAAAATAACTAGCATTGGTGAGGAGGTGGTCAAAAGGGAACACTTGTGCACTGTTGGTGGAAATGTAAATTGGTGCAACAGCTATGAAAAGCAGTATAGAGATTCCTCAGAAAAATAAAAATAGAACTATCACATGATCCAGCAATTCCACTTCAAGGTTTTTATCTGAAAAAAAAAAATGAAAACACTAACTTGAAAAGACATAAGTACTCCCACGTTCATTAGGGCATTATTTACAATAGCCAATACATGGAAGTAACCTAAGTGTACCTCAGTGGATGAGTGGATAAGGAAAAAAAAGTGAGGTATATATAAAGGCATATCCTGGAGATATTAGAGGTTTGGTTCCAGATCACAATAAAGAAAATATTCTCACAATAAAGAAAACATCATAATAAAGGGAATCATGTGCATGTTTGGTTTTCCAGTGCATATGTAAGTTATGTTTACACTGTACTATAGTCTACTAAGTGTGCAACAGTATTATGTCTTAAAAATGTACATACCTTAATAAAAAATACTTTATTGCTAAAACATGCTCACCATCATTTAAGCTTTCAGCGAATCATAATCTTTTTGCTGTTGTTCAATGTTGATGGCTACTAACTGATCAGGGCCGTGGTTGCTGACAATTGAGGTGGCTGTGGCAATTTCTTAGGCTAAGACAACAATGAAGTTCACCATATCGTTGGACTCTTCCCTTCAAAAGTGATTTCTCTGTGGCATGCAATGCTGTCTGACAGCATTTTACCCACAACTGGAGCATTTTATCCAAAACTGGAGTCAATCCTCTCAAATTCTGCTTTTATCAACTAAGTTTGTGTACTATTTAAATCCTTTCTTGTCATAACAGCAATCTTCACAACATCTTTCACCAGGAGTAGATTCTAGCTCAAGAAACCACTTCTTTGTTCATCTTTAAGAAGCAACTTCTCATCTGTTGAAGTTTTATCATGAGATTGCAGCAATTCAGTCACATATTCAAGCTCCACTTCTAATTCTAGATCTCCTGGCTACTGTTAGGTGCCAAGAGGCCAACAATTAAGCCTATTTCAGCTTTCAACATGCTTTCCTTACTAAGCTCAATCATTTTGAGCTTTTGATTTAAAGTGAGAGATATGCAACTCTTCCCTTCACTTGTGGAACTTAGAGGCCACTGCAGGGTTATTAACTGGTCAAATTTCAATACTGTTGTGTCTCAGGGAACAGGGAGGCCTGAGGAGCAGGACAGAGATAGGGGACTGGCTGGTCAGTGGAGCAA